AGCCTGTGCGAGCAGAGCTGGTTGCCGAAAAGAAAAAAACATATATATATAGAAATTGATATGGAACTGGAATTTACTGTTCTTAATTTACTAGAGCCTTCAGTTTTCAACAAATTTTATTAATATTTTTTTTAATAAAAGCTTATAAAAATACCAAAAGACCGGTTGAGCACGATTTTTGAAATTTTAATTGTATGTATTAAATTTTGTAGTGCAAAGTGCAAAATAAGGAAAAAATTTTGAAGAAAATCGATTCTCCTGTTCCGGTTAATAAATTTTAGGGTTCAGCCAAAATAAAAAAAAAAATCACAAGGAAAATTTGAAATTAAAAAAAAAAATTCACCAAATTATTATTTTTTCATTTTTTAGAAAATTTTGCTTATGGTGTTTTAGAGATCATTTAATTTTGGTTTTAAAAAAATCTAACAGCCAATTTCACAAAAGCAATTTTAGTGAAAGATGATTTTAATTTTTTTAATTTTATATGGAAATTGACAGAAAATTAAAAATCATTTTCCATTTAAATTGCCGGTGTTACCGGATGTAATGTATTGACAAATGACGGCTCCAGTGAATTATGGACTTAAATGCCAGCTTTGAACCACTGTACATCGTTACTCTTTTATAGAAAGGCCCTAACTAAAGTGTAAAAAGAAAAATACTTACTTGAGTTCCTATTTTTTACCATACATAGATTTTTTACACAGAAGTTACATATTTTCTTGAAGTAGTTGCTTTTAAATTTTTCATTGGGTAGAGCTTAATTTCGAAAGGACATGAGTTAGGGCTTTTCTATAATAATGTAACGGTATACATTTATTTACATAAGTATGTATACTCACATGCATTAAATCGAATAAGGGATCTTGATTTGGCTGCTTTAACACCACTTCGTCCCTCTGCTCACCGAAATATAATTTAAGTATACGCTCACTCATAATTCGGTTCTCAATTTTATTATGAGCACGTCTCAGTTCAGCAGGCAGCAATATTTCTGGCTGCTGTCTAACAATATCCAGAATATGTTGAGACATCTTCAGANTTCGTTAGGAATTATGCAATTATCGGATTCATAAGGTTCTACTGTCGGAGCAAAGGTGAGCGGTAGAAAATAACGACTTTCATCATCGTTGACCAATGAATGCTCAACTAATTTCCCTGCATCTAAATTTTCCAAATACGCAAGCACATCACTGTCTTTATTTTCACCCTTATAGCCATGGCGAACAGCCAATTGGTAAGCCAAATCTCTTCGAGTCATTAAAGCCCAAGGGCAGAGAGCGGAGCCGGACATCAGAATTGCCCGCTGAAAAAGATCACGCGACTGTTCGGTCAACGACAAAAAGTGTACACATGTGGCGCCTGCGCTTTCACCCAAAAGTGTGATGTTATTGCAATTGCCACCGAAGTAGTGAATATTCTTTTTTATCCATTTTAGAGCCAGCAGTTGATCTTTGAGAGCGGCATTACCAGGTACATCAAGATTTGGATCACTTAAACTAAGAAAACCTGAAATAGGAGACGAAATAAAAGTTTAATCAAACTTAGTGGGTTGAGAAAAAAACAAGATTGTTGGCGAAAAATAGCAAGCTATACTGAATGTGATTGTATGTGGGTATTGTAGAAATGAGATTTTCTTTAAACCAAATAAATTAGGAAAGTATGAATAATTCTGAAAGCCTGATTTAAAAGACTCGACTTGAACATAAAGTCTGCAAAGCCTTGGTGATATTATGGCAAAGTAAACAGATCGTTAGCAGAAGATTCTACAATTTTGAGTCACCTGAGGTCATCAAAGCTGCTCGAAAATAAATCTAAAAAGTTTCACTTTCCTGCGCAACGGATCAATTCAAATGCCTTGATCAGCGCCCTGAAATGCAAGCTCTTCCGTACGAATGGGCAGTGTGT